TGGCCTTCGGTGCGGAGGTGGCCTGGGGGTTCCTTTGTTGTGCAAGGGAAGAGCAGGGAGTGCACCAGCTCCCCCGGCTCCCCTCAGCCCTCGCAGGGAGGGCGGCAGGCTCGGTCGCGTGTGGTAGGTCGTGACGGCTGATGGAGCAGTTCATAACCCATCCAACAGCGCTGCTTATCGCAGTGGGATTTATGGAAATAGCTCGCTCTCGGGCTTCTTACCGGCCGCCTTTGTTTCCCTGGCCCTTGCAGATCACACGTGTGATGAGTAGTATAGAAAAACTGCCCCCAGAAATTCGGAATACATACACATCCCATCACACAATTACGGACTCCTTCCAAGAGGTTGTGTGTGTGTGAAAGTTACGGGGTTTCTCCTACTGAACCATTAAAATAAGCTGTTGGTGTGTTTGGCAAACGTGGGTTTTAATTTTTTTAACTTTTCCGGACGTTGGAATAAAAACTAGATACGTAACAATGGATACTGGTGGATACCTTGGAGTAAATGCAGCTGACACCAGTGTGATTAAAAATAGTGTGATACTGTAAGATCCAGTTAACTTGTGAATCGGTGTTCTACAGTAAAGTCTGAGTAAGAGAAGCTGAACTCAATGCACTTAAGTTTTAACAAAGATGCTTCCTCTTGGAAAACGCAGAGAACTAGTACTTTTCCAAAATGTTGAGGGTTCTTTTGTTGTTGTTTGTTTGTGAATGGACCTTGTCCATGCAAATAGGCTTAGTTGTCCATTGCCCTCTGTGATAAAAGCGGGCGTAAGCGGGCGTCCGAAGGTGGCAGCGCCTTGGAAACGCGGGTGGTGGGCACTCCCTTCCTCGGGCTGCGAGGGACATGGAAATAACACGAGTTAGGGCCAGATAGGGGAAATGCCTGGAGGGAGTCTGCTGGAGGCTGATGAATGCACTGAAAGCCCTGCAAGCCGCGGCTGTTGAGCGGCTGAGGATGTTCAGGGAGAGTAACGCTGCTGGTGGTCGTCGTGCGGTGGTCGTGCGGCTGCTCTTGGGGTCAGTGCAGTTGAGTGTCCCCATTCCTGAGCCGGCGTTCGTAGCGCAGTGAACTTGTTTGACGTGTTACTGGAAGTGACTGACAGCCGTGAAACTCTACGGGTGGTATTCCAGGAAGCGATCCGTTCCTGGGCTACGTGGCAAGGCCTGCTTTTAATGCAGGAAATCTGTGATGGTTTACTGTAGGACACCAGGAGGGAGAATGCAAGTGCAGGTCAGGGGGTCCAGAAGGGTTATGGGACGCCAGAGCCGGCTTTGATGCCGTGACACAAACTGGGGTGCTGTTGAGCTGCTGGCTGCTGCTGTGTCTCCATACATTTGGACGCTCCTGGAGGCTGGCATCTCACAGGGCAGAGCAGGAGAGGGGCAAGAGAAATGATTTGTAAACCTTTAAACTCGTAAAAGATTAATGTTCTTGTTAATTGTACTGCAGTATATGCCCCATGTCTTCCTCCTTTGTTCCAGAAGCTGCTATTTCAGGTCAAAGGAGCCTAGCAGCTTTGAATATCCTCTCTTGTTGTGCTCGATGTTCAGTGTGCCTTCGTAGGCAGGAACAGCCGGTGTGTCATCAGTAACCAGGCGCTGTCCCTCTCTTCCTCCCATCTGAGCTACTCTCGTGTTCTCAGTGCCAACAATCCTAGGGTTTTTTCAAAAAAACCCGTTAAGCGACTGTACTTTAGAGATTAAAGCTCTGTTTAGACAATAAGATCTGTTACAAAAAAAATAGTGAGTAGTCAGCAAGAAGTGTCTGACCAAAAAAGGCTTAACTGGTGATTTTTTTCCTCTCAGAATGGAACTTGGCAAGGATCTTGTTTGCACAAACTGGTTTTTACCAATGATCTGAGTCCATTTGTGAAATGCAGGAGCTGTAGCAAAACACCAGCACTGGTAATTCCCAGGGTGTGAAGAGAGCACAATGGATCGGGCTTATTCCAGAGAGAACTCCCTTGAAAGGTGCTGCTGCCGTGGTTATGGGCGCCAGTTCTGCTTTGTGTCTGCTTTGGCAGACAAAGAGATTCTCTGCCTTGCGGTCATGGAAATCAAGCGTGTGTTTTCCAGCGCTGAGGCAACTTGAATTTCTGCTGGCAGCTTCCTCCTGGCTCGGTGACATCCGTAGCGGAGCCCCAACCCCTGCCTCTCCCTCCCTGGCTGCGTAACAAGCCGACACACTGCACCAGGATGTGGTTTGCTCGTGTGAGCAAACGTGGTAGCGTGACCCAGTGCCTTGTGTTGGGAAAGAAAAGGAAAAGCCTGAGTTCTTGGGAATTCTCTTCTCCTGTCAGCCAGTGCTCATCCTGATGAGCTGGTGGTGCTGGACCTCGGAACAAAGCAGAGCTCTCCTAGGGACAGGCAGGGACAGTGGTGCCGTGTTCGGGGAGGCAATGGCATGCAGGGGTGGCACTAGTTCCCCAGTATTTTGGGCTTTTTTGCAGCATACCATGAGGACGCTTTTTCCCATAGCTGCCCTTTGCAGTAGGCTCGATAAAATGATTGAATGGCAGGAGTTTGTGGTGGAGAGCTTCCAAACGGCAACCTTGGGGCTCCGCAGTTGGTGTTGCAGCGCTCGTGCCTTCCTCATTCCAGTGCTACTGCTGGCAGAGTAGGTGTGATGCAGCCCTGCCCCTGAGCTGATACCTGGAAATGGTGCTTCATGGGATGCAGCTGTTCAGGAAAACATCCTGGGGAGCAGCTGGTTCTGTTCTTTATTGTCAAAACTCCTGGATTCCTCCTCAGTTTGCAAAGCTGTAGCTTTACAGCGGTGATGCTGAGCGCATCTTCCAGTCTCACTGCATCCTGATGATCGCGATGCCGCCGCTGCAGCACTCTGCTCTGAAAAAGGCAGTTGACAGTAGCAGAGAGGTGGTGGGGTTGTGGCAGAACCCCCTGTGCAAACAGCTTTGCTGCGCTGCTCCAGCACGCCTCCCGGGAATGCCCAGGCTTGTGAAGGGGCGCGGAGGATGTAGCCTGTGGGCTACAGAGAATGTACATCCTGACAGCTTTGGAAAGGATCTGAGAAGCCCCTGAGGTACGGACGGTACTAACAGGTCTGGACTGACGGAGGATGCAGCTCGGAAGGAACTGGACTGGTGCCATGGTGTTTGGAGTGTGTTTTTCCGAGTGTAGGTGGAACAGATCCCATGAATCATGACAATGCTCCTTCCCTTTCTGTCCTTCGGCTGAGGGACGTTTGCAGCCAGCTGGGCTGGTTTGATAGGAATTGTCAGTGACAGGCGGCGTGGTAGAACTGGTGGGGTCTTCACCTCGAACTGCAGGTAGCAGGCCGGCAGCCCTCCCCCAGCCCGCTACCAGCCGAGTGGTGGGGGGGGAGCAGAAGCAAGTGGAACGGGGAGGCTTGGTGGCTGCTCGCATCTTGCGCTTCTGTGCGGAGTCTTTTTTTTACTCGAGCCTCTGAAGGCAATCCCGGGAAGGGCTGCACGGGCTTCCTTTCCCTGGAGTGTTGGTCTTTGCGCACCCTGTAACTGAAGAGCCTCGAGGGTCTGGGTGGGCAGAGCAGGCCTGCGACCGCGTCTGCTGAGACCGCGTCTGCTCAGACGGCCCCCAAGCGTCCCGCTGGCCGGTTTTGGTTTGTACGTGTTTCTGAGGGCATGGCCAGGCTTCTCAGGTTTCCAGAAGATTGCATCATCTGCCAGTCTGCCTGATTTTGGGAGAGAAAAGCCTCCTGAAGCGGCTGGGCCGTGGGTCGGAGTCTGTGGTGGTGCCTCTCTGCGCTCGGGAACCCCCTTGGCTGTGGCGTGGGGCCGGGTTTGCTGCCCGTGTCCGTGCTGCGAGGGCTGAGCCGCCTCCTGCCGCCTGGCACAAGCCTCTAGGAAGTCCAGAGCTGCTGGATGCTGCCTCCAGGTACGCTCCGTTCTGCAGAAACGCACGTTTGCAGCGGCTCTTTGGACGTAGTTCCCAGCGTCAGGAATGACTGGCTCAGCCTGGATGGGACAAACGGCATCTGGCAGCGCGGCATTTGAGTGCCTCTTCTGAACAACTGCTGCGTGAAGGAGTCTTTAAAGAACACGAATAATGTGACCCAGGGGAAGGTGGAGGTGGGCAGAGGAAGCCTTAGCGGAAGGGAATGTGTCTCCTCCGCTTGCTTTGACGGGAAATGTAGGTGACTGACCCAGATGCGGAGCTGTGGGGGCATGGAAATAGCCCGAGCGTGTCCCATGCCGGAGTAGGTGCTCCAGGAGGCAGTTCTGACCTCGTAACCCCAGAATGAGAACCCTCCTCCAGCACCTTTTCTGGAGTTCCTGCTTATTAGGATCATGAAACTACAGGAACAGTAATGATGGCATCAGTGTTGGCCGAGTGGTGATTTTTTCACCCCTTCTCGTGATGTTCTACGTGTCCATCTCCTTTCTGCTAGCTTTTTGTCTGTAGGTATGTCTTCAGGTAAGCCCCAGGCTAAGCCTCTTTGGCGACCGTGTGTCCATCCATTTCTTTAGTGTAACTTGTTTTCTCCTTCCTAAAAATACCAAAGTAGAAGCTGCTGTGGAAGTCGAGACTGACTCTTAAAAGTCAAAGGTCTGTTGCGAATGCTGTGTGGCAGCACGTGAAAGATTTACTTCCCGTATCGATGAGGTGACGTTTGTTTTCACTGATGATGCTGGGTGTTTATTTTCACACAGCTGAGCTTCCACGCTGGAAATCCACCGTCTCCTCCTGCAGTGTCACAGCACAGCGTGTTTCACTTCCGATTCCTGACGCGTTCTACTCTTTTTTTGATAGAAATATGGTCTGGACTTAAACTTAAGTCCTTGTTAGCGATGCTGAAGGCAGCGTTTGGGTTGGTGCTGTCACTTGTAGGTAACTGGATGTGCGCTCCTTACGTTTACGAGAACTGCGCGTGTGTCCTGCTGGCAATCCTGTTCGTGCTTTGTCTTCACGCTGGGATGGAACGTGCCCAGCCCGGGCACGCTAAGCCCTCGCCAACCTGCTGAGTGCCTGTACTTACCCGACCGTTTTGTCTTGCAGGTGAAGCTGCAGAACAACATATCCTATCAGATGGCAGACATACATCGTTTAAAGGGTAAGGAATTAACGGCCACGCATGGCTTGTCGGATTCAGGTTGTGCGTTTTCTGACTGCCGAGGTGCTTCAGGGCACGTTTTAAGGGAAGATGAAGTGATGCTGGAACGTGGCGGAATGTCAAAGGTCCCTGTGCGCGTTACCCAGGGGTAAGGGCAGGGTTGGCTCTCGCAGACTTTGCTCGACTGCCTGCAGGGAGACCCTGCTCCGCTTGCTTCCAGGATGTTAGAAACGCTCTCGTGACCAAATGCACAGTTTATATTGGATCAGCAAAGTTGTGATCCTGACGCTGGGTTACAAAAGGTCCACAGAACATCTCTTAAGGCTGTTGTGTACAGATGTGATTGCAACGCCTGTCATCTTTTCCCAAGGGCAGGGAGTGACAGGACAAGGGGTGACGGGTTTGAACAGAAAGAGAGAGATTGAGATGGGACATCAGGAAGGAATTCTTCCGGCAGAGGGTGGGGAGGCACTGGGACAGGTTACCCAGAGGAGCTGTGGATGCCCCATCCCTGGGAGTGTCCAAGGCCAGGCTGGATGAGGCTTGGAGCCCCCTGGGCTATGGAAGGTGTCCCTGCCCGTGGCAGGGGGTGGGGATGGGGGGGGTTTAAGGTCCCTTCAACCCAAACCATTCCATGATCTCACTGTGTGGGCTTCCGAGTGACCTGGAACAGCTTATGCCGAAATCTGTATGTGCCTGCAGAAAACATACTTGGCATTTCTGCCTGTATCCATGTAGCTGCAGCTTGAAATAGGGGAAGCTGAGCTATTATTTGTAGCCTGAGGAGCAGGGGAACTGCTGGAACAGTTTCTTGTGAAGAAGGGAATGTGTCGGGTTTATGGATAGCATGAAGGCACTTCCCTTTGTACGTTACTGCAGCAGCAGCACATTTGACCATCGTGCCTGAAGTACCTGCTAGTGCTTTGGTGTTACTCAGAATAACAAAATCTTTCAGGAAATCAAGTTTTCCAGCAGACGGGTGTGAAGTAGCATTGTGTAAGCCTTCCGAATCAAAAGGTAACTACGTAGGGGTTTGGCGTCGTACCAGGAGAGTTGTTCTGTAACTCATGCTGACACCTGGCATGCGTGAGTAAATCAGTGTCTTCCTCAAGTTAGTTCAGGAATCCTTAAAGCACGCCTAGAAGGAAGAACGTAAAGCTTGAGCAGATTTGTGGCTTGTGTAGCAATACCGAATGTCGTATCTGCCACGGAGCACTCTTCCTTGTATTTGCATATTCACGTGGGTTTTTGCTTTTTGGTGCAGAGCAACTCGCAGAGTTACGGCAGGAGTTCATTCGCCAGGAAGATCAGCTTCATGAGTACAAGAAGAACAACACCTACCTTACCAGGAGGTTGGAGTATGACAGGTATGTCCTCCAGAACGCTGGTCGCTGTCAGTTTGTGTGACGCAAGTCTATGTTTATTAAAAAGTGCGAATTAATCCCGTTTCTGCTAATCCTCAGACCTGGGTGTGCTGACTTGCGACATAACTTCGACTTGGCTAGTTGTTTGATTCCAAAGTTCTATTTTTTGTGGTGTTCTACTCCTCTCCCCAAAGCGAGAGATGATCTAGAAAAGCCTGACTTTCTGCAGTTGGTCAGCACTGGACAGGGCTAAGCCAAGGCAGAGATCTGGGTTGGAGATGCACAGAGGAGTTTCAGCGGGGCAGTGGTGTAAGCCACCGGCGCTGCACAGTGCTGCCATTGGAAGAGCGCGGTGTCCTTCTGTCACCTGAACTTGACTTCAGCCTTTAAGTTGGTGATGGAGAAGCACGGAGAACAACTCCTGCAGCCTTGAGGCGTGGGGGAGGTGAACACTCTCGCCCACCAGAAATGCTCCTTAACCCACGCTGTGCAGTGCGTTGGCAGGTTTGTGGCAGACGGGTTTTGTTGGCTTGGGCTGATCTCCGACCTGTCAGGAGCTGGGACACTTGGCTCTGTCACCCCGATCTCCCCAGCTGCCTTGGCTGCAGTAAGAGCAGTGGTTGTGCATCTCCTGTGCCCGCCGTGGGGATGCCGTGTTCTCCTGCTGCGGTTCACACGCGCCTGTGACACGTCAGCTGCTGAGTCTGAATCCTCAGTTGCTTTCCAGGTTTTGCAGGAAATACATTCAAGGCCATTCTGTTTATTTTACTGTTTCTCTGCTCTGTCCCTGGTTTTTCCAGTTCTGCTTTCTTTCTGTATTCAGTCCCTTTCCACTCCATACACGTTCCAGGACAAGGCTTTTTGGACAGACTATTCTAGTTATACCTCAGGTTTGGCTTTTTGTGCCGCTATTTTTTCCCCCTACTTTATTTTCGGGTGAGCAGCTAAAATAAATTCCATAGAACTGATAACGTGTTTCTAATCCAGCCTGCAGTGTGGGCAACAGATCAAGGAAATGAGACTGCAGCACGAAGAAAACATAAAGAAAATAGTGGACCAAGTAATGCAGGAACAAAAGGTAAAGCACAGCCAGGTTTCTGGTTGCATTAGAGGGGCCTGGGGTCTGCTGTTGGCTCCACTCAGCATTTCAGACCCGTGGAGGCCTTGGGCGTTTCTCCCCTGAGTTTTCGTTAAGTATCAGCCCGAGCAGCCCTGGCTGGATGCTGGTACGAACATCTGCCTGTTGTGCTCGGTGAGCTGAGCCCTGGGGATCAGGCTGAACGCTCTGCTCTGCTCCAGCCTTCCTGCAGGACATCACTGCCGAGGGTTTCGGTTTCTTCTCTGTAAAATGGATATGGCTTTTAGCCCTCCAGGGTGGGATCTCTGTTCTTACAGCCTTACATGGGTTATTGCAACGGGGAACCTGATCCCTACTGAGACCTCGAGGTGCTAATGTGATGCAAATTGGATGGTTTGGCATTTGGATGGTGTCAAGGGGGTAATTAGATGGTGCAGGCTGCCAGCGGAACAGGGTCTCCTCCAAGCAGGTCAAATAACCCGCTCTGCTTAACACTCCCCTTCCTCCACCTCTGTCCACAACCGTTTCACATCATGAGGCAGACTTGGTTTTGTCAGATCTCTTCTGAAACTCTAGAATTGTTGCCAAGTCTCTGACCAAGGCATAAGGCCAGAGATGCCTTGACCAGCTTGCGTTACATTGCAGAGCTGCGTATGTGGCTGCGAGTGCTGCGCTGGGTGTCACGTGTTCGGTTCAGTTCTGCGTCCGTACTTGCCTCCTGCCCTCGGGGCTCAGGCTTGTACACAGCGGGCTTGTGCTGCTGTTTGCCTTGGTGACCATCTGATTCATAAACGCGATTGTGCTGACCCAGAGTTACCCTGAATTTGAGGGGTGTTTTGTAATTTTCAGGGACGTGCTTAATACTGATGCCTTATGAATTTGTTCTGACAGGCCACACAAAAGATCCAGTCCAGTAAAGACACAGAAGTAATTCCCAGTAATGATGACCAGGCAGTGTCTAAGACGGTTCCAGAGGCAGAAGATAAAAACACAGTAAAGATCGAGCAGCCTTCGGATCACGTGGTAAATGGCAAAGGTACTTCCTCTTGGTTTATGTGATCTCTGATGGACGCGGGGCCGGTCGTGTCGTTGCTGTTGGACAGAATCGTGCGTTGCTCTGATGACTCGACTGCCTGCACGTGGTTGTACCAGGCTGGAGTTTCTAGGTGCCCAGAGACCGGCGAGTCCTTTCGTGAAGGTAGTTTCTCGCACAGTTCTGCGTTCACCTCGTTGGTTCGTTTGGCATCTCCTTCCTCGCGTGGCCAGTTGGGAACTGGGAGTGTCTCTGCCCCCCGAGCTGTGTCTTGGGGTGAGCGCTCGCCAGCGACTGACAGCGCAGCCCGAGGAGTGTCGCTGCGTTCTCGGTGTGGGGCGTGTTCTGTGGGTGAAGGGCTTTTCCTCTGCTCTTAGAGCAAGGGGGAAATTCACTGTTCTAACTTCAAGGTTAATAAGGCAGAATATCCTGTTCTTGTCTTACAGAGAAAATCAAAGCAGGAGGAGATGCAGGCATGCCTGAAATAGAAGATAATGACCCCGCTAAAGCTGAGGATACTCCCACTGGTTAGGAGAAATGTCCTAATACTTTCATGTTTGGCTTCTTGGGGATGTATATTCTGTTTGAATAATGTGTGCTTCCTAGTGGATTCAAGGATTTAAAATCTGTTTCTGGTGGCAGAATTCAAGTGGGGTATAAAATCTGGTGCTTTACAAGTTTGAATCCTTAAAACTGAATGTTTTGTATCTCCCTCCCCGACTTCTTGTTTTGTATTTCCATCAATGGTCTGCAAACAGAGTTTACAGGCTTGTTAGAGGGAGAGCTGGTATGTAGTGTGCTTGGTTTACGTTAATGCTTTTGTCCATGTACTCTATTTTAGCTTTAAAGAAGCCACTTATTTCGGCTCCCAGAAGTGAAGGTCATCAGCCTGTGCTAAATCTCCCAACTGAGCAGCCCCATGCTCCAAACCTGGCACCAGGTAAAACACTTCTTACAGGCAACATCTGGTAGGGAACTGAGCATCTAACATCTGCTGCCGTATCGGGAAGGTGCGACGTGGGTGGCCAGCCCCTCTTTGGTGCCTGATGTGGTTACGGAAAGGAAAACAACGACCGGTTCCTGGTCTGGTGTCCCGAGGCACTGAGGCTGCTGGCTGTACCATCTCCTTCAGCCAGATCTGAGAGTTAAAAGTTTCAAAGGGAAGTGGTTAGATTTCCCCACTGGGGAGAGGAGAGGAATGGAGATTAGTGCTGCTCCTTGGGGGTACCAGTTAGGCAGGGCTGCAAGACACCGGTAGCTGTTGTTGACCTTCTGGTAGCCCGGTACAGTCGCAGAATCAACAGCGGTACAGTCACCTGCTGTGTTCTGTGTGCGAAAGCTCACTGAGGGTGATGGGAACGTTCAGGGCATGAGAGAGCTGCAAGTGCTGCAGTGAAAGTTCAGAATTGCAGTCGGAAAGGACACAGATCCATAGGAAATATACTTGGATCTAATGCTCGTGGATCGAGTCACTTTGCTGTACCGTCAGACAGCGTCAGGTTGTATCTGCACTGCCAGGGGGTGTTCACATAGTGCCCTGCTAAAACCACTACGTGCAACGTCCTCGTTGCCTCCGTGTGCCACCAGCAAGCAGCTGGGAGCCCGTTATTAGTCCTTTTGAAAAAAGGCAGCAGAAGGATTTCCTACTGTCCCTCCTTTTGAGGGGCTGTGTGAGCAGATCAGAACACCCAAACCAGCGAGCTCAACGCTGTTTGCAGGCGCCAAATCTTTTAAGTAGTCTGTTTCTCTTTGTTGTTCTGAGGTAGCCCTTCCCGTGGATTGCTGTTCCTGAGGAAGTGTAAAGGCCGTGAGCGAGATGCTTGTTCGTTGCTGTTAGGGCCCATCACCAGAGGGTTTGTTGTGAATGTCAAGGGGCCGGGAGTTCTGTTCCTTGGCTGCGTGGCCCTGTGATCCTGCTTGTTAGCGGAACTTGTGTGACCTACGGCAGCCGCCTGCTCAGAGCACGGCTCTCCCAGGCAATAAGTGGGCCTTAGGGGGTTTGAAAAGCAGAGTTGGCAGGAGGATAAAAAATACACAGACGTGTTACTGTTGTGGGCTTGTCAGGCACTTAACTACGCACAGAGAATCAGCGGAGAGGGCGACGGCCTAGGGTTGGTTGGGTATGGCCGTGCGTTGTCTTCGGTGACGCTGCAGCTGCCCTCTGGGACCACGTTCAAACCGAACACGCTTCCTCGTTCTGTAGATTTGCATGGTGACGACGCTGGAAATGCCGACGCTGTGAAGCAGATACCTCCAAATTCCCTCCAGCACTTACACTTTGAAGAAAATATGGAAAATCAGGAGCACAGGAGTGAGATGGACCATATCCGAATTCCGAAGAGCAGAGTCAGCGACTTGCAGAAGATGAAGCAAAGTAAGTTGGCCCGTGTCACGCTTTGGTCTGTGCAAATCAGTGTCACACGTGCAGTAGTGCCTGGCTGGGAAGTGGGGACCGATGCGGCAGGCGGCCCTGGAGCGCAAGCCTGGAACGAAATGTGGTGTGTTACCGTGTGAAAGATAGGCCCTAGTGCACCATACTTCGTACACAGATTAGGATTTAAAAAGTGATTTCCTTAGCGGAATTGAAGGTGCTTTGGCAATGCCTACACACAGAACAGATGAGGTCAAGACGTCGGTACGCACACGATGCCGTTACCCACGCTCGCGCTGTGTTTCTCAACTACGGTGTCTGGACAGTGCCGTAAGAGTTCAGCCCTCACACAGGGGGTCTTTGTGGTGGTACGTGTCTGTTGTCCACAAGTTTGCTCTTCTGTGAGAGGAAGTTTTCAGAACCCTCTTCGCTGGCTGCTCAAGGGAGAAGCGTTCGACAGGAGCATATCCTGTCTGTGGGATGTGCGGTGGGGCGATGCTGCTGAGGCTTGGACAGCAGGGAAGGACTTGTGACCGCACGGAGCTGTCTGTGCTTTTGGGGTGTCTCTGCCTTGTGGCTGACACCGTAACACCGGGAGAGCAGCGTGCCTGCAGCACTGGATTTAGCTCCTTCCTGTAGGAACGCCATATAGGAACGTTTCTTGTGGACCAGTGCAGATCCTGTACTCCCAAATCCTTAACCTAGTTAGTTTTGAAGAACTAATTCCAGCTGTTTAACATTTGGGTGGGGAAGGGGCATCTGGAAAAAAGCAATATTGCTGAAACATCTCTTTTTACCCAAATAGGGTTATTCTTCAGCATGGAGCTGTTAGAAATTCAACTTTCTGTTTCTTTGCACACACAGCTAAGTAGCTCTGGTTTCCCTGGTTGAAGCTGTCTGTGCTCAGGGATGACAGGTTACTACATCAGGACAGGCCCCTTCCGAGTCAGGAGAACTGGGGGGAGAAGGGTTCTGTCGCCCCCTGCCAGACCCCTGTTAACCCTGGGTAAACAGTGGCACAGAGAGCAGCTGGGTGGGAACAAAGCCAGGAGCTGGTTTGGGGACAGGAGCTGCGAGAGCCGGGGATGCTCCCGGGAGCACGACGCCCCTTTGCCGTGCAGCGTTTTGCTGGGGAAGTCCCGTTGTCGGGGTGAGGTGTTGCACCTCCTCTTCTGGTCTGGAGTTGACTGGCACTGGCGTGTCTCAGAGAAATGAGTGCAGAACAACGCTCTGTTCTTGGTAAACGTTTTGGGTGCAGTTCGGAGGTGAAATTAAAACGGGGCCCGTGAGCATTGTGCCAGGTTTGGTAGCAGCAGCGGCATCAAGGGGCGTTACCCCCAGGGGGTCAGTGGGTAAAGCCTGTCGTGGCAGACCTCGTCTGGGAGGCCAGGCAGCTACCTGAAGTGGTGTCTGAGCGGCACCATCTTACGCTGGGTGACGCCTCTGAAGAGGGAGTGGAAGGAGGGTGCGAGGGGTTCAGACCCAGCAGCCCTGCTGCGACACCCACCAAGGGACGGAACAAAGGCTCTGTCAGTTGGAGCGCGATCTGAAGCAGTCAGCCTGGATTTCCAAGAACAGATGGTGTCCAAGGGACAGGATCTGAAAAGTGTGTGTTAAAGGGCTGGAAGTGGAGACGACGGGAACGTGGCTGTGGCATGGGCGAGTGGATGGAGTCCTGGTCAGGAGTGACTCGCTGGGTGCACGACTTGAAGCACAGAATATTCCAGGCATAGGAGCCACAGACAGTTTTATCTGAGAAGCTGCTGTGTGGTGGCTCTTCCGCTGTGTCCGGAGATGTGCAGGACTGCTGGGTTTCCCAGAGCAGCTCCTCGACGATCCTGCGCTTGTCCAAGCGACTGCGGCTGCAGTGCCGTAGCTTCCTCTGCCAGTTGGTGGGGTTTGTAATGGCTTGGCTGTCTTCCCTGGGAAGGGATGGGGGAGGCAAGCTGGATGGTCCATCACCATCACGATGAGTCTCTTCCTTTTCTCTTTGCTCTTTCCCGTTTGGAGCATGAGCGTGTAGCGACGCCGTGAGGGAGGTGCCTTCTCTGTCCCGCCAGGAAGCAGCTAATCCAGGTTTGTAGGTGTACTTCCTGACTGATGAGCTGAGGGTGTTCCGGCAGGCCCATCGCCGCCAAACTCATCCCTCGGGTGCGCGGAGCCCAGCTCTGGCACACGGCGTTGGCTGCAGGCGGCTGCCTGGCTGGGGTGCTGGTTCCTGTGCCGTGCATCGGCCCAGGGATGAGACCAGAAACTGTCAGTGCTCGGGGTATCGGTCAGGTCTGCCCGGTCTCAGAACTGCAGAACTCGCTCCTGCTGCTGGGGGAGTGGTTGTATCACTATATTTTTCCATGGTTCTTTTCCTTTTCTTTAGACACCGTTAGTAGTAGCTGATTTGATTACAAATCAGCATTAGTATTATTTTATTTAGTCTATTTTCAATTGTTAAACCGTTCTTCTCTTAACCCAAGAGTGTTCTTGCCCTTCCCCAATTCTGCCCCCATGGGGCGGGGAGTGAGCGTGCGGCTGCGTGGTGCTCGGTTGCTGCCAGGGGCCAACCCACGACAAGCTGTGCCAGAGCCGGGGCTGTCCTGTACGCCGGGGTGCTCCGCGAGCTCCGGCTCCCTGGCCTGCCCGGGCTGCTGTGATGCCAAGGATCTTCCTGAAACTTTCCCCTTTCCTTCTGCCACTTGAATTTATTCAGTGTTTCTGGCACGTCTGCAGGCTCGTTGTTCCTATAAGTTAGGTGCATCCAGTTGTCTCTCCATGGGTTGGTTTATATGTGACGTGGGAAATGGGCAGCTCTGCCTGCTTTTCAGACGTAACACGGTGTCCAGAACTGCAGGCAGTAGTAGCCAGGGTTACTCGGAGAGGAAGAGAATGAAAAACGGATCGCTGTTTCATCTTGCTTGTTTTATGAAGATAACTGAGGGTTGTTTCTGGGCGTTGGAGCTGCACGAGACGTCATCCTTCTGCTTTCCTCCCCCCCGTAAGCCCTGCTGCCGCTGCTGTCCTGATGTGTACGTACTGCTACCAACGAGGTGTTCCCTGGTTTAATTTCGTGCCCATCTGCCCCTTGTAGCCCCAGTCTCCTGAATCCTGATGTTGAAATCGTATTCCCCGTGCGATTGCTTCTGCTGCCAGCCACTTCGCTTTTCCCCAGGCCCTTTCCACTCTGTAAAGACTGCCTCCCACTTTAATCCTGACTTCTCCATTTATCCGTAGTCCCTCCGGCCTTGTGACCTCTGCAGACTCCGTGTTGCAGTCTGACC